ATAAACATGTATATTAAGCTATCAAACCAACAATCAGATTTATAAACGTCGATGTCCTAGTTATCCCTTCCTTTCGCTTATTTCGATAATATAACTTATGTCAACACTCGTCGGAGATATTTGTGAGCACACTATCGTAAATTTCAATCGTTCCATACTAACTCGTTTCAACATAAATTATAACGTCATCGTACATATTTTAGATTACATGGCTTCTACATTGGGCACTCTATGCGGCGGACTCTCTCTTCCCGGCAACACCACACGTTGATGAAAAGGAAGGAGCTAAGGAAGGACTTAAATAAACAGAACAAGAATACAAGATGGAAGTCCCTCGAAATATGGACGGACCGACGAGCTACATCATTTTGTCAAGAAAATAAAAAGTAATGATAATAACGATCTTTAAAGTAGCTACTACATATGCCCGGACACCGTGATAGCTCAGTGTGTCGGCACCAATGAAATTGTTTATTGTCTACGAATCACATGTTCAGCGGTGAAGGAAAACACGTTATGCAGCCTCTGTACGGAGACGACCTTTGCCAGACAGTGGGACATTTGTAGGCTGTTGTGTTGACTCGAAAACATAACTATAACAGAACTTGTCTGCAGGCTTTCTTCAACCTTTAACCGATCTTAACTGTATAGAATGCTAGCTAGCTCAAGTTACATTGTCGAAATAAGTATTCCTCTCACTGAATACAATAATCATGAATGAACCCAAGGGTAATCGTAGTACAATATAATCCAAGACCCTTATCGATTACGATAATGTTGCAGGCTGCAATGATAGCACAGATAAAACTTGTTGATAGCTCCAAGGTTGATTTTCCTATTAATGTGGGTGTATCCCAATATATATCTCATCTAATATTGGTGCACTAGCACTTATAGATTAACAAGAATCAAGTATAAAATTAACACAATGTTATCTAGTATAAAACTAAGCAAAGCTTAGGTACTATGGATACTAGGTAATTGATAAACATACTTTTTTTCTAAATAAATACATGTTATAGATAAATAAACACCCAGACACTAGAAAAACACTAGTTCACTAATTACACAATAATTTCCCAGTAGTGAAAGAATTTATCACAACAGACTACTATGGATCCGTGATCTAATATCGCTGTTTCGAATCTCAATGACGAACATCTACGCGTTTCCATTTCATTCCGTTCAAAATCTTCGTCACATCTCAGCTTTTATAGCGATTGCCTGAAAACTTTACGTAGAAGATTTTTCTAAGATCTAATGTAATGTAAGCTAATAAACACGAAAACTTTTTTTTTTTATGTGAAAAGTTGCCAAACGAGCAGGCGGTTGCCATGGACATCTGCCACACCCGAGGGTTTGCAGATGCGTTGACAACCTTTTTGGAAATTGGGCTCCGGCTACCTCACTCACGAGACGAAACGCGAAAGTATTTGTCATACTTCCACTTTACGCCGGTTTTCTGTGAGGTCGTGGTACTTACCCGGACGGGCCTGCCCGTTCGTGCAACACCCGAGGCTGCTGCGTGGCCCTACCACCGTAGAAACTTAAGATTGTTTTGCGTATAGATACTTTTGATGATGAAATATAGCCCTATTTGATTGATAATCCTGTAATATTTCTCAGTTAAATAAAATGCGAAGCTTTGCAGTCTTGACGTGTCGCCCAGTGTCGTTTGAAATCAGCAGTTTGAATTATCACGCTTTTGCAGGAATAAAATTGTATAATCAGTCTAGTGGCGTTCACAAGGGGCGTGTCTCGCGTCTCCTCACCACGCCACATTACTAATACGCTATTGGCTAGAGTGTTTGGTGTGCCTCGGTAACAGTTGTGGCAATGTAAACTACTTATGACACACCAGCATACAAACACACATATTTCGGCGTTTAATATAAGTCGATTTTATTGATTAAAAAATTAGTTAGTAGTTAGTATGTAAATATCTTTATTTAGTGTTTTTTCTTACTGATATTAAAAGTGAAAATGGTAGTTTGTCGCGCAGCTGTTAACTAATAAGTTATAGGTAATTTGTCTGTGAACTTTCACGTTATTTTCGTGTGCTTAATTATACCGTCGTCGTATTGTGTCGTTCCTGCCTGCAAAACTGAAACTGGACAACAGTATTTAACTATTGAATTAAATGTTCAATTTATAATTTTCATAAAAACCGATCCGTCCATGTTATCGGGGCTGCCAATGTAAATGAGATTGATTTATTCTTTATACTTTTTATTTGCATTTAAAACTTAAAATTAACAATCATCATGGACCCTGGTAGGACATATCAATAGTAAAAGTAAAAAGATTAAAATACATTTTAGATTTCACACATTACCTACATTACGATTTTTGTATTACAATAAATTTTTACAATTATGCATGCGTATTGAAATTCAATTGAAATTTAATAAAACTTAACATTCATTCAATTATAATTGGTGTAAATAAAAATATAATTTTACACATATTCATGTAAATATGCCTACAATGATCAAATATTGTCGAGTGTTTGGATTTGATATATTTTTCCATTTTTAACTGTTTTATTTATCGCTTAAATATTCGTGTAAGTTTTAATAACTTTTATTTATGTAAATTGAGTAAATTACACTATGGACATAAAAACATTTTTTGTATGTGACTTGAAAACTTTTTTAAAATTAATATAATTAGAATATTAAATGTTAATTATTTACTTTTTGTTCAGTAAAATAAATAATAATTACGCGACGATTTTTGATATCTATAACAAAAATTAACAATAACAGAATTCCTTACTTACGAGTAAGACTTTCAACACATGCGCCAAACGTCCTGGATAAGAATGTACTATTTTTTACCATTATTTGATTCAGTACTTAGTAGCACATTGGATCAGATTTAAGCTCATGTGATGATGAATGATATTCATTGCAATGTATAGAACTCTTTGAGACAGATGAAAATAGTAGATGCAAGGTGTATATGTATTAGTATAATAGGCATTAACATGGGCTACAATGTAAAAAGATTTTGTTTAATTAGGCCATCATTTTACGATAAGTATAAAGTACGATGGAAAAACTCCTCCCCTCTGAGAGCTATCTTGCGGTGCGCTGCATAAACCGTTGGAGTTATACGAAGATAATGTGTCGTGACTATTTTTTTTTTTTTTTATCTGAGAAGGTGGCAAGTGAACTGGTGGTTCACATAATATTAAGTGATCACCGCCGCCCATCGACATTTGCAACACCCTTAGAGGTGCAGATGCATTGCCATCTTTTAATAAAATGGGCCCCGGTTACCTTACTCACCAGACGAAACACAGAAGAATACTTCTTCCACTTCACGCCGGTCTTCTGTAAGGTCGTGATACTTCGTGTCACAACAGGCCTGCCCATTCGTGCAACAGTGAACTATTGCGTGGCCCTACCACAGTGTTTGTCTTAAACAGTTGTAAATAAAAGTTTGCGACAGCATATACAGCGTGTCGTTACCACCGCGACAACAAACGAACACACGTCTAACGCTACTTGCCAATAATCAGAAAAAAATATAAACGTTAAAAAAATCATAATTAAATTTTTTTTTTTAAACAAAGTAATTAAATAAAAAAGAAACAAAATTTGTAACAACCTATACAAATACAACTGACGATTCATACATTCAGAGACTTTTTCATTGGTTGCCACAGCGTCTCCTCACAAATATCTCCTTCTATGGTTTGTGACCTTTACAAATGAACTTTACGTTATAGTTTTATACGTAAGGGTGTTCTTAAATGGTTTATTTTGGAAAATTTAATAACTCTGTAAATATTGATGTTTAAAGAATGTAAATGTTTAATACAATTTTAAAAAGTTATCCTTTATATGTGTGTTCATTTATTGTCGCGGTTGTAACGACACGCTGTATGTGTACCTTAATATGCGGAAGTCAATATATATACAGTGGTCGGCTATTCGGGCCTGCAGGCATTTATCAGATTGAGTTCAGCATTATAGTTCCTCGAAAGCAAATTAAATTTGGCGTGCTTGAGTGTGACCGAAATCTATACAACAAAGCTACTATATAGTTCGATAATAAGGCGGCATCAAACTTGGATTTGAGTGAAGTTATAGACGAGTTTTCTTAAATTAAAGATATTTTTTGTCTATTGATCTCATCTGTATAAATTTTAAATTTTATACTACTAATAATCTCTGCGCTTAAGATGAAACATTAAAATTTGTAAAAAAAGGGATAAAATTTGATGAAAAGTATCTTGCAGCTGCGGAAATAGAACCCACGTCTTCCGGATACGCAGCCAAACGTTTCAACCACTAAGCTACAACTGTCTTTTATCTATATTGTTTTTTTTTTTTTCGCATTTTAAGCAATGCTTTGTGCATCTGTTGTTATATCCTTTAGGTACAGCGTACAAACAATGACAAATAACGTTTTACAACAAAATTCCACAGAGATTAAAATTTTTAATTTTTATATTGCTAATCTCTGCACTTAAGATGAAACATTAACATTTGGAGAAAATAGGAAGAAAGATAATAGAGCCGTGATAGTACCAGAGCAACCTGGGTTCGATCCCTGCTGTCGGCACCAATGAAATTGTTAATTTTAAGTGCTGACTTATCACGTGCTCTGCTGTGAAGGAAAACATCGTGAGGGAACCTGAATATTCTTCGAACTAATAACAAAAGAAAATATTTCGATGATATGTGAAGTCCTCCAATAAGCAATGGGTGGTGGATTATGTCCAAAATAAAATGCTTACAAAAACTCGACAGAACTAGGTATAAATCGACATCACACATAAATAATAATTGTTTAAAATAAATTACGAGTTTTAATGTATAACTGATAGACATTTGAATTATTTGGGATTGTTTCTGAATCTGAAACGGCGATTACCTGAATCGTATTACTCATATTTTTGTAATATCAAAAATAAATATAATAATATCAAAATTAAATCAATTCACATTGTAAAAAGGAAATAACTTTAAATTATTATAGTATTTTTAATCGCTATCACTATCTTCGGTCACGGTGAAGTCGAAAGGTCGGAACTTTCTTCTAAACTCTGCCACATGTGCGTCTTCTTGGTCTCTGTCTATAAGGCACTGTCTCCAATCCGCTTTGTCCTCGCAATTCAATATGGGCGGACTCGACAATACGTCCCTAGAAGGAAACAAACATTAACTGTATAAGAAACCGATTCAAATTGTAAAATTACTGTGAGACACAGAAATGCTTGGTTTTGACGTGGGCGTCTTAAAGCGCCAGGACATCGCTGTGATCGATGGATATATATCGGCTACGCGACTTAAATCCATGTTAATTGTTCACAACTCACAAATAAACTTACACTCCGATTTTATTATTACCAAACCAAGATGTACATCTCAAGATACAGGATTAAAATAATGTTATGTTGATGCATCGCTCACTCACAGCGCCATCTGAGTTTTCCTTCAACAATGGAGTGCCTCACGGCTCTTGGAATTAAGTATTTAAGCATTTGCATTTCACTGTTTTTTTTTTTTACACCTAAATAGTTGCAACATCGCGGATGCTGACTAGGATAATGAAAATGAATAGTTTGTCATGAAAGAAACGAAATCACTGTATTTTCCATCTGTCAGCACTAAAATAAAATCATGGTTTATGATTCATCTCGCTCTAACACCGTATACGTTCTATCACCTGCCGAACTGTAGAGGGAAGTGCTGTTTGGTCTTCGCAAATATCTGGTCGCCTGTAGGCAGCTCCGCGTGGAAGTATGGCGAGCCTGGCAACACTACCTGCGCAATGTCCGCAAATGGCGGCAGCACCTCGATTTGCACGCTGTTTATGCCCGCCTCGTCCTGCAAAACAAACTTGTCTTATGCCCGGTTGCTATATTCAACGAACGGCCGTTAGTTACATAGCTTCGTAACTTTCATAGCGTCTTAAACCTCAACAGGCGGAGCAGGCGTTAAAAAATGTTAAAAAAATCACGTACTTAATGGATGACCCCCATTCTTTATTTAAATTTTTCATACGAACATACAACAATGTTCGGGAAGAAGAATTTTCTACTTGGTACGTCAGTCGTTTTTAAGACTAAAAAAGAGATAGATGTATCTTTTCACCGAGTGTATCTTTTTACAACTGATGTAAATTTATTGTCTTTTTATACGCCCATTAGTATTTAAAGCGTGAATAATTTTTGTATGCAAATCTTCTTGTACCTGAAACACCTCCAAGATCTGAGATTCGCAGATGCGCGGTACGGGCACGCACTGGATCTGCATATGAGACGTGCGAAAGTTTCGTTCAAAGAACACGACAAGCTTGTCCATGGAAGTGTAGAATTGCTTCAGAGCCTCTTTGAACTTCTTTATCTCGTTCACAACATCGTCGGGTGCCTGGAACCGAGGGATAAAATGGGTGTGTAAGAAAAATAATAATAGCAATAACTTAACCAGCAAAATCCATATGGCCCCTATAAAATAATCATATAATTAACGTGATTTTTTACTAAATATCAATTTACTAAATGGAATAGTATTATAGTAGATAAAATGGTACCTTACTGACTGACTGGTGATGGGCTATCGGCAGAATAAGCACGTGGTACGGCGTAAGGGGTCCCTTGGGTAAAGCGAGGTAGCAATGCATTCCAACACATATAACCAGATGCTTCTCGACGGTGGGTGATGACAAGCAAAACCAACAGGAGTCTGAAGATGTATTTTTTTACAATTATCATCTATGTTATATAAAAGTAGATTGACCATACACAATTGCACCATAAAAGACAAATAGATGCCACTAATGACACAACAATAATTGGTAGAACAATTATTTTTAGATAATAAAAATTCTTGAGCCGGAAGGAATAGAACTCAAAACTCATGGTTACAAAGCCATTATAGAGATTGGAGTTTCAGTTTTACAGACAAAAAACTGAAAATTGAGCGTGTGGCATAAAAAAAAAGTAAGCAGAAGAACTAGGAGATTTGCACAAGTAACTTTCATGTAATAAATTGCGCAAATTTGCTCTTCAATATCCTTCCTACATCACATACACCTTAAACTGAACTTGTCCAATGTTCATCCATTATATTATAGAAGTATAAGCAATGTAAAAAAAAATATAGAAGTGCCTTGCCACACATTAATTGGGAATAATTTTCTTTGCACATTTAGCAAAAATCTATATTCTATCTATAATCTATATGTACCAGGGTCAAATTCCTTGCGCTTCCTTTCTGAATTATCACCACTTTTCCTTTTCCTCTTTCCTTGGTCGTCATCTACTGCATCCATGTTAAAGAAATATTGTCCATTGCCAGAGAACTGCAATTAGTAAAATATTTGGATTATTGTATCCATTAAATATTCTTTCCTATGATTTCCTTATATGCAAAGTGTAAACAATAATTTGTGACATTAAAACAATATTTCAGTTTTAATTTGAGTTTAAATGATGTAGCATAACTTTGCATCAGTTTCCATCTTGACACCCACAGCAATTGAAAATACTTATAATTCAGGGTGCTGATTCAAGGTATAACAATAATTATATAAAACACATTGTAAGAAATCTGCAGGTCTATGAAAATCAATAATGTAATGGGTCTATGACCAACATTTAATCTATATATTATAGATAACAGGGAAATAGATGTTATGTTACCTTCACTACTTTACCAGGCTGATGTTGTTTCATTAATTCTGGATCATATGGACAAGGTGTCTCATCAGTGGTCCCTTGCAGTAGATCTGTCATACGCATTGTGCTTATAGGCTGCAATGAACATGCATATATCCATTTTTCCTTGACTTTGTTGCCCACTGATGCAAGAGCTATAAATCTTGTTGCACATTCCCGATAGTCTTGATGTACACTTTGATTTCTATTAAAAATTATAGAAGAGTAATTTTCCATTCGCATTGAAAATATCTATGAATAATATCATATTTTTATATCAATCTGCATTGACAAACAAAAAGTTATTGCTCTTACTGTAAATAGAACTGATCAAGAAAAAATTACCTGTATGGTTGCCTTTCATAATATTTATTTGCTGATGGTACAAAGTGATATCTTGGCTTTATATGCATGGCAAGCCAAGCTACCAAGTTGGACAAATGATCCTTTTCTACATCCATCTGAAATGAAAAGAAAAATAATGTATGCCTGTCTAGGAAATGCTAATGGTACAACTTTTTGAACCACTCCAAAATTAATTTCTTAACACTATAAAATGTAAATATTTTGGCTAATTAGCTTGTATTTATTTAAAGGTTTAAAACATAATGGCATATAACCTTTTGACATTCATCTTGCTCAATTCCCATGGGCCAGAGAGTACTTATGAGAACATCCACACCTCTATACTCGCTTTGGCCTCGAAGACAAGCATCTCTGACAGCACTACAATCACTAGGTTCAAATGTACACATAGGAATATCTTTTCCAAGCTCTCTTCTTGATAGTCCAGTGAGATAGGCAATTTTCACATCAGAACTGGTTGTAAATATACCTCTTTTGCCTGAAATTAATTATACTGTTTTATATTTTTATATTTATGTTTGTTATTTTAATTGTTTGGAGTAGAAAATTCAAACAATACCCATATAAATAACATTTGGCACTATTTCACTTCCCTCTTCACAATAATAACGAACATGACTTTCATTGCTAGGCCCAAAAACATATGTTGTAACTGGAACTGTAAACAATATTGCACCAAGTTATATAGATAGAATGTAATAACTGGAAATAATATAATCAATAAACCATATTTCTATTAACCTGAAATATGTCCTAAATAGTATAATCCTAAATAGTGAATTGAAATTCTTGTATGGTAAATTCATTCTGAGTGAACCCTTTGATAAATTGTAGATAGAATTGGTTTGATCTGAAATTGTACAATCCAATCAACCCTTATGAAATGTTGTATTACTTTTTAAAGTATACATACTGGATGTACAAAGAGGTATGATTTTCCATTGACTCATGAGGAAGAGTATTACCCCCCTTAAACATAGATGTTGCAGATTCCCCCCCCCCCCTTTTCAAGTTTTTAATTTTTTATTCTGATGAGTTTTTCTTCATTTTAGGGATTAAAATTTATAATAAGAGTAAATAATAAGGGGGACTCGAAACCTTGGAAGGGAAGGAACCCTTTTAAAAGAACCTAAATAAGGGGAATTGTTCAGAAGGATTTCTGCATTTTGAGACTGTAACATTTCCAGATTTGCAGAAAGAGCGGCTTCTATGCCCTTGCATAACAAATCGCAGACATCCATCCTCGCCTCTGCAACTTTGGCTTGTCAGTTGCCTACGGGGACCAGCCTTGTCCAATGCCTACGTCCTATTACAGTGAGAGGAGATAGCTATCCTTAGGCACCTCCGGCTCTATAAAAGCACTCTAGGGGTAGGACAGACTCTTACAAGGTCCACTTTGTAAGAGTCTGCCACCATTTTATCCATAAAATAATGTTTTTCAGTGTTGTGTTATAGTGTTATCCTTGTGTTTGATCATAAATAAATTTAAACAATGCTGAAATGTAGTGTGTGTGTTATGGGATGTGGTATAAGGTAAAGTACAATATGGCAGAATTCTGCGGTGTGTGTGTGTGACATAAATATTACAAAAATAATTGATTTTCTAGATTTTTTTTTTCTGAAAAACTATGCGTCTCCACATATTGAAACTGCTTGTGTGCCTATAATAATGTAATCTTTCTGTTAAAATTTTACCCACAACTCGACGGACGTCAATGGTAAGCTACGCCTACGAAAATATATAACTAATACATCACTTTACCTTTTCTACTTCCCATCCTGTAAGCATCAAGTTGAGAATTGTCATCGCTAAAGAAATTTCCACAACAGAGCAGGACGTCAAATGGTCCAGATTTTTTTACAATCGAATCAACGCGGGAAAATAAAGCGTTGAAGTTTCCATTAACATCCCCACAAACTAAACTGTAAAAAAAGTTCATAAATCCTATTTTTTTTTAGAAAATTGGATAAATATTACAAAAAAAAACAATCAAATTGAACTTACGTTTTCTGTTTATCTGACATTGTTACAATCCTAAAGGATTAAACAAATCGCAATAATTACAAATATTTGAGACCTTATAAACCACACCGCGGTAAATTTCCAATAAATGGTATAACCATTTAAAACAGAATGTTTTTAAATTAATACAATCTAATCAAGTAAATAAATGTTAAATGTTTACAAACTATTGCAAACTAAACTAATAAACTATGGATGGATTTATGGAACCATAACAGAATGTGACACAGAAATCAGAACTGACAATTTGACATTAAGGTTAGCTTAGGAGCAGGGTTGGATTTAGGTATGATGAAAAAGATAGTACAAAATAAGGATAGTATTTGAAAAAAAATATTATAAAATACTTTATAATTTTGATTTCAACGGGCATTAATTTACTCCTCTTTCATGTTGCGGATATTCAGCAGAGTGGACAGCCCGGCTTCATTTTGTACCAGCAACATTGCTCTTTCCCAGGCTGCCAGCGGAGCCTTCACAGTGAAGCGAACTTAAATAACAAAAAAAAAGATTTATACATTTGTATTTGGAACAATTTCTACAAAATGGAAACACTGCGTTTTTAACTGCTTTTGCGAGTGGGTACTTAGTTCTGGCAGAATACACTGTGGTAACATAGAATTGATCACGCGTCTAGTAATTTATCATAACTTGCATTATCATCCAATTATATTATTACTACAATGCGTTAAGTGCCATATGACTCAATACATAATATATGTACAGTACATTATCTACACTAATATTATAAATGCGAAAGTAATTCTGTCTGTCTGTCTCGCTTTTACGCCATAACTACTGAACCAATTTAAATGAAAATTGAAACACAGATAGTCTAGAGCCTGAGAAAGGACATAAGCTATTTTTATTGGAAATTTTATTTAAAGAAAGATATTTATTTAAGGACTTCAACGCTGGCGAAGCCGCGGGCAAAAAGCTAGTCTTCTATACATAACATAAATCTTATTTTTATTAATGTAAAAAAATACTATTGAGCTAATTTTTATTTTAGACAAAAAAATCATTTAGATACCATATATGATTCAAATTTACCTTTTTTAATGCCCCTTATCCATCAACCAATTTGAGTAAATTCAATAGGGTTATTTTGATTTTATTAAAATATCCATTATAATTAAAATTATTTATAATCTATATTAGTTCTATTATGTTGTTATATTTATTCTACTCTCTAACTAAAATATATGTTAATAATATATCTGTGTCGAAAAATGAGGAAAAACATCTGACGTTTTAATCAGTCCTCGAAACGTTTAATAATTATGTTTTGTTTTGTATAAGCGGGCCGAACAGAGTTTTCTCTAATTTGCTCTTAGAATGGTATGAGATAACTTGATGTAGTATAAAGTTAATTATGGCATCCACAAGTAGAACTGGGACTGGCTTAGAGGAGGTGGGTGTTCCAGGTCAAACTTTTCTACGTGATGCTTTGACAAGTTGTACTGATCCTCTTAAAGCGATTGAAGAATTCCAACTCGAAAATGGAATACTTTTACCTTCGTTAAGACCAATGCTTCCGTTACTTGATTTACACGGAGTACGCCGACTTGATTTTCACACTTCTGTTTTGGAAGAATTAAGAGACAAACTTATTGTTCACATTAATGAGTTAGGTTCAAAAGAAGGTAAAGAAAATGATAAGAAACTTAAGGATCTTTTGGCCAAAAGCTTTGCCATAGTTAGAATAAAAGCTTTAAGACCTGTTATTATGAGTATCCTAAAAAATACTCCCCACATAGATGATAAGTATCTTCGAGTTTTAGTAAGAGATCGTGAATTATACAATGATACTGACACTGAAGTAAAGCGCCAAATTTGGCAGGACAATCAATCTCTTTTTGGAGATGAAGTTTCTCCTCTGCTTAGTCAATACATTAGGGAAAAAGAAAATGTACTTTTTGATCATGAAAATCTTACAAATCTATTCTTTTCACCATCTCCCAAAGTAAGAAGACAGGGTGCTGTAGTTCAAAAGCTGGCACATATGATAGGCACCAGTGTAAAATTGTATGATATGGTCTTACAGTTCTTGCGAACATTGTTTCTTAGAACAAGAAATGTACATTATTGCACATTACGTGCTGAACTATTAATGGCCCTTCATGACTTAGAGATACAAGACATAATATCAGTTGACCCCTGTCATAAATTCACATGGTGTTTGGATGCTTGTATCAGAGAAAGAAATGTTGATATTAAAAGATCTAGAGAACTTCAAGGATTTTTGGACAGTATTAAAAGAGGCCAAGAGCAAGTCCTTGGTGATTTATCTATGACTTTATGTGATCCTTATGCAATTAACTTCCTAGCTACTTCAGCAATTAAAATACTCCAACATCTGATTAATACTGAGGGCCTTCCAAGAGACAACACTATATTGATCCTCTTGCTTAGAATGTTGGCTTTGGGTTTGAGTGCCTGGGTTATGATAGATTCACAAGAATTTAAAGAGCCAAAGCTTGATAGCCAAGTTGTAACTAAATATTTACCAGCGCTGATGTCTTTAATGGTTGATGATCAAGTTCGTGCATTACATAATAAATTGCCACCTGATGAAAGGGAATCTGCTATTACAACAATAGAGCATTCAGGCCCACCCCCAGATGCTTGTGAAGCTTATATGAGGGAAAGTTCAGTATGTGGTGTCTTAGCTATGTACTATACATTGCATGCAGCAAAACTAAGAGATCGCGGGGCTCTCCTTCGTATCCTCAGTATACTTGGAAGTTGCAAAGATGGCCGGGCCTATGAAGATCCGTTCTTGCATGCACTTGTGGCACTACTGATTCAACTGCCGGACGAGTTTCAAGGGGAAGATTTTAGCACAGTGTTATTTGATGAATTCTTCTTTGCAGGGCTCACAAAAGACAATGTAACAAGGCATATTCTTAAACTTCTGTGGTATATACATCCTAAACTGCCTGACACCAGAATACAAACATTAATGAAAGCATTACAGCCCGGAACTCAACACAATGAATCTGTGCATAAATTACATGAAACCTTGCAACAGAAACTAAATGCCCAATCAGAACCTGCTCCTGTAACAAATGAAATGGAATACTTAGATTCACCATTAATGAGTGTTCCAACACCTGCACCCTATCATATGTAAATTTTAATTATATTATAATATTTAATTAAAATTTATAATTTTTTGAAGTTTTGTTTTAAAAATTATACATGCATCTGTAGTTACATATCTATAGTACACTTATCACTCTTATAATAATTATCTTATTGTCGCTTTTTGTATAAAACTTCCATTCAATAAGATAAGGGATGTACAAACAAATTATTATTCACATAAGTCACCAATCTAATCTAATTATAATATCTTATATAATATTGTTCAACATACAAAGATTATGAATAAATTACAGAAGGGAAAGTTATAAGATATTGTATTTACTGGGCTTTGAACAAACTGTTAACCCACAAAGGGTATTCCCCTTAGGGCATGGGACTAATGATATGTGTATTTGCATTTCTAATCTTGGTGAGGTAACCCTCCTTGGGTTACCTCACCTATGCGCCGATTGCATTGACGGCCCCTGTGCTTCTCAAGTTGAATCAGGCTATTCATGCAATAGTAGAGTTTGCTTTGTGACTCTATCACAGTAAAAATTATAATAAATTTGCTTATTCAATTATACGATATGATAACTTTATTCTGGTGTTGCAATCTGTAACAAGTCGACCGTTTCTGACCTAAAGTATAACAATGCTTATAGCCTATGAGTGTTTGCTTTGTATTTGGGGGAGTTAGATTGAACTGTGGCTTATAATAATTACAACACCTAAGCCACTTAAATTAAATATTGTACACCAAAATATACAAGGCATAGGTGGCAAAGAACCTGAAATTGAGCTGTTTCTTAGAAGATTTAACATCCATGTCATCTGCTTCACAGAGACATGGTTACATAAGCATTTTAATATTATAGATATAGAGAACTATAAATTGTTAAGTTCGTTCGTAAGAGCAAATGCTATTCGCGGTGGCTCTCTTGTGTTAGTAAGAACTGATATAGTCTGTAAAAATCGACAGGATATAGTAGCACACTCTGTCGAACGTTCTATAGAATTATCCTGCGTTGAGAGTCAACAGTATATTATAGTATGCGTGTATCGACCCCCCTCAGGTGATTTCGATCTCTTTGAGTGTGTAATGGATGATGTACTTAAAAAACTCTGTTCAAGTAGTAAATCAATAGTAATTTGTGGAGATTTTAATGTCTTCTTGTATTAACTGATGTTTTTGCTTTCAGTCCCGAGACTATTAAAGCTTCATCGGACGCAGAACCGGTGGGCTAGCCAGAACCCACGGGTTTGGACCCTCCGCTATGGGTAGGGTCGCGCATGTGCTCATGCGTGCGTTTAACTACTGTGGTGTGTCATCTAAGGGCCGTCGAGGTCGCCGGTTCGGACCGAGACCCCGACGGCCGTCGACTGTGCATTTAGCTAATCGGTGGCTGGGAGCGGTGAGAACCGCCCCGGAACGCGGGTGTACCTTGTGTACGCGTTGTGTGGGTCTCGCCGTGCTCGGAGGCGAGGGCGAACTGGTGTGATTGTTGTTACACTAACTGTGGGTGTAGTGTTATCCGGCGGGACCCCCGGCGGTGGGTCCATCGTGTCTAAGTCCTAATTTTAATGTGGATTTATTACAAGTGACACATCTTAGTAAACGACTTTTAAATTTATTTAGTTCATTTAAACTTAATAATCTTTTTCATGAACCAACTCGTGTCACTAACTCATCCTCCACATGTATAGATAACGTTTTCTGCCACGATAATGTATATGATAAATATGTTATAAATTATCTGAGCTCTGACCACTTTGGTTTAAAATTTTCAATAAATGAAAAAGTTGTTACAAGCAAACATAAGATCAAGTGTAGACCAGCCACTACTAATAGAATAAATTCTTTTAAAGACAAAGTGGCACATCATATGTTAAATAAAGATATAGAAGTCAATAATCCTAATGATTCTTATAAATCAATGGTTGACTTTCTCATATCTTCTTATAATGATGTATTTAAATCGCGCACAATTGTTAAAAATTCAAAATTAAAATTTAGTGACTGGGCAACAGTGGGTATATATATAAAAGTAGGGATTCACTGTATGAATTATATAATATGAGGCAGTGGAATCATGACCCCAACTTTCATAAAAGGGTACAAATGTTCTCAAAAATATTTAAAAAATTCTGTATTCAGGCAAAATCTATTCATATAAGAAATAGAATAATAAATTCAAACAATAAAATTAAAGCCACATGGGACATCATTACCCGTATATCTGGAAGACCCAAGATATTCAGGGAACCTATAAAACTGGTTATAGGTAATTCTCCCATAACATCAGATAATGAAATTGCAAGTAGTTTTGAAAGCTATTTTTCAGAAATTGCAGTTAATGTCACATGTACATTAAAATCATCTCCCATAGATGCAATTAACGTTCTAAGAAATAATGTTACCTTTTGTCCCCACACATTTAAATTTAATCACGTAGATACTTATGATATTATAAAAGTTTTGAATTCTATTAATCTTAAGAATACAGGGGATTTATGGGGCATGTCCATAAAATTAATGACCACAATAATGCCATATATTGCACCACATTTAGCTAATATTTTTAACAACTGCATAGAATCTGGAATATTTCCAGATCTTATGAAATTTAGTAAGATAATCCCCGTCTTCAAAAGTGGGGATAAAAATGATCCAGGAAACTAAAGACCTATCTCCATATTGCCATCTCTGAGTAAAATTTTTGAAAAACTAATTTTAAATCAGCTCTTAGTACATCTTAATATGAACAAAATTTTTCACAATGAGCAATATGGATTCACTAAAGGCAGATCGACAACAGATGCGGTTATCGCACTTGTCAAACATATTTATAACGCCTGGGAAGGGTCGCAAGATGCAATAGGTGTTTTTTTGCGACCTTTCAAAAGCTTTCGACTGCGTGGATCACAAAACCCTCCTTCTAAAGCTTGATTATTATGGCATTCGTGACATCGCCCTCAATCTCATTGCTTCTTACCTTAATAATAGAATTCAAAAAGTATCTATAAAATGATGTAAATTCCGCAGGGTCCCCCATGAAAATGGGTGTCCCACAAGGATCGATCTTGGGCCCATTATTATTCTTAGTATATATAAATGATCTCCCCTTTTATGCCATTGAGTTATGTGATGTTGTACTGTTTGCTGACGACACATCGCTTATTTTTAAGGTTGACCGAAATGTATCGAATTATGACGACGTGAATAGTGCACTTTCGCGTATCCTCCACTGGTTTACCATTAATAATATGGTGTTAAATGCTAAAAAAACTAAATGCCTTCTTTTTGCCCTTCCCAACGTAAGAAGGCAAAATTTTAGCTTAAAATTTAATAGCGTAACCCTTAATCCTGTTGAGTCCGCTGTATTCTTGGGAATCACAGTAAATTCAAAGCTCCAATGGAGTCCCTATCTATCATCTCTTGCGAATAGGTTAAGCTCCGCTGTTTTTGCAATTAGGAAGGTTAGGCAGCTATCAGACATCGACACTGCCAGACTTATTTACTATAGTTATTTTCACAGCATCTTGTCGTACGGCATTTTGTTGTGGGGTAGTGCATCTGATATAAATTCAATATTTATTATTCAAAAAAGAGCTGTCCGAGCAATTTATAACATCGGAGCCCGGAATACACTCAGAGATCTTTTTAAAGAGATTAATATACTCACTGTTGCGTCTCAATATATTTATTGTAATATTTTGTATGTTAAACAGAATATTAATAATTATCAAAAGAATAGTGACAGACATAAACTAAATACTAGAAATAAGGACAAACTAACTACGCCATTATTTCGCCTACAAAAAGTAAACAGATCGTTCATGGGGCAAAGTGTGCGCATGTATAATAAAATCCCACAGTCGATGTTAAGTCTGCCACTTGATGAATTTAAAGGAAAAATTAAAAGTACACTTATGGCTAAAGCCTATTATACTATTGCCGAATATCTTGACGACGCCAATGTGTGGGGTTAATACTGTTGATACTCACGTAGGCTAAAACAAGACTATTGTACCTGTACTATTATATTGTAAACTGATTTTTTAAAAAAGAGCAACTGTTGAGTTTCTTGCCGGTTTCTTCTCAACAGAAACTGCTTTCCGAACCGGTGGTAACTTACGAACGTGTGAATTTCTTGTAAAATTTTGACGTTTCATAAGAACGCGCAAGCGTCTATGTGAATAAAGATATTTTATTATTATTATTATTATAATGCCATAGAGAATGTGAAACGGTGGAAGTTTAAATTAGAAATAAAATGAATAGATTGTTCTCAAAACTCTGATTAGCAACGATCAACACAAATTGCAGATTTTTTATGTTCGGTGTTCATTTATCAATATTTTTATAGCGATTGCTCGCACCGACCCTGGCATCATGCCATAATAACAGTTTAATAGAAACCCTTGTTGTCATCCTAAACATGCAGGTAGGATATCGGAGATTCTTAGTTCGTAAAACAACGACTTCAATCATTGTCCTAAGTGATCGGAGAGAAATCCGTTAAACGGTATTGGGCTTGGACCCTTCGAACTCAGAGAGATAAAATCTTTGTTTCTAAATTACTTAAAATTGTTTTTATTGAATCATCCTATCTGCTTTCAAATATTTCGTTTAAGTTTACCAGAATCATTTCTCGTACTGATTTGTTTTTATGTCGTTGTGTGGACTATTTACTTATCCAAAAACTGGGTTTTTAACACAATCATTTTGCTATTTTTTAATCATGGTAAGCTTAATCTTAATTCTATTCAAAAGATGTTTTTCTCTATATTTCTAAAATTTTATTGGCTCACTAACTTTTCGCCCGCGTCTCCGCCCGCAAGTACATTTTATATCGTGCTTAAAAAGTAGCCTGTACAAAAAAATTGTATACCTACATCTTGTTTTCTCAAAGTTATAGCATTTTTTTATCTATTCAATGCTGTTGGGTCGATAAAGATTGTAGAGTAAAGTAATACTAGGGAAAAAACTGATAAAGACCCGCCAAGCAATTTTAATGTGGTTCTAAAAGTTGATGTAACTTTTTTACTTATGCAGCCATTTTAATAAATCATATAAATATTATATAAATATAAATAAGTGAAGCTTAGTACAATGCATTAGTGAAAGTTACAGTCGGTAAAGTCGTTTAGGAGATTAGCGCGCACAAACTCACAGACAGACAAAAATTTAAAAGAGTCGTTGTTTTGGGTTCTATTCTCAAATATGTTCCATGTACATGCAACGATCAGTTACTATAGAATAATATATAGGTACCTACATAGAATAAAAATTATACCATGTAGGTATAGATTTATAAGTGTGTTTTTCAACCCAGTTAAATAAATTAATCATATAAATCTCACCCATCAGATGACGATTAAAAAGGTTTTTGCAAAAACAGATGTATGAAGATTGAATGTGGGTAATAATTACATATAAACCGAAATGATTTATAATTTGATAATTATAAACAAAAAAAATACTGTAAATATTATTCTTTATTATTAGTACCGACTTAAAACAAGAGTTTTATAAGTAAAAATAGAAATTGAAAATGCAAACAGAGATTCCTGTGGACGGATAAGAAAATGAGCACGTTATGGCAGTACAGTTTTACAAAAGATCTAAAACAAAAAGAGAGAAATTTATCCAGCGGCGTACGACGTTTACGAAAGCATGCTTTTTTCGCATTGGCTAATTTATGTGTGATGTTGGCGGCGCTCCGGCTTCATGTCGAGCGAATGTAGGGAGCGAAGCGAACGTGAACGCTCAAATAGCGATGGGTCCGTGTAAATTGGTTCGCTGCCGTCGTCGAAGGCGTTGGCCAGTCTTCCCGAGGACCCTGCTTCCTCGCTAGCGTCGGCGAAGGTACGACCGAGTCCACTGTCGAGATAAATCGTGCATTACTAGTGAGTATGCTACATGTAATGATTATATTACTGTTCATTAAATTTTTTGACGAAGTGACGTTTTTATTCGTTTATTAAATGGGTAATATGTTTTATTTTATTAGTTCTAACTGGTGAACAATTGAACATCATATTGAAAAATGCAAGAAGAGTTTTGATTGCGCTTGTGAGTTTGTGACAGTAATGTTTTGATTTATTTTTAATATATATTTAGGACACATTTGTACACAACGTTCTCTAGTATCTGCCAAACTAAGAAACACTACTAGATAACTGATAAACATACTTTTCTTTTCTAAATAAATACTACACATATATAAACACCCAGACACTGGAAAAACACTGTTCATCACACAATATTTTTCCAGTAGTGGGATCGAACCCACACCCCCTGGCACAGGAGGCAGGTACATTACCCACTCACGTCATTTTAAATATTCGTGTTATTGGTGAAGACATACATATATGAAAATAAATTATACTATGTAAAACCTAATTGTACCTTAGTGAAAAAGGTTTATGCAGATGCGATGCTGAGAAGAGGGAGGGACGAGTAGGCCTGGGTCCAGTGGCTACTGGACGCAGTGCTGGCACCGGGCTGGACACCTGAATGTTCTTACGCAAGACTCTCCAGTAACGTCTGAAAAAATCAGAATCAAAATAACTATTTTTTCGTGAATCATTCACAAGTAAATTTGATAACGCCTTATTCGGCCTTCACTTTTCATACACTTCAATTGTTTAAGCCCGTACTTCGGTAAAGGTACTTTGTAATTCTTTGTAAAGCGCAATGTAACTATATTTTACTTTGTCAGTTTACGGAATTTAATATATAAAGCAATTTGGGGACGGATATGATGAGATCTGATGTGGTCGATTTAAATGGGCACAATGCGCACAAGGAGAATAAAAAACTTACCTACGTATATAATAACCCACTTTTGTATGTTGGAAATCTAAAATAACATATTTTTCTACGAGATTGTGTCTGGTCATTGCTTTCATTGAACTAACCTGTAGATATACAGTGCTGCAGTCAACATAGCTAGGAGGAGAGACAGAAGCACACATAGTGCAACGAGCAGTGACCGGTAATGGTAAGGAGAGACGCACACCCCTGCAGCCGCCACAACAGGGGAAGAGTCCGCAACACCATTCTCTTCGTAGAGTTCGTTTCGATTGTCGAAAACCTTGTAAATGTCGCAATATTGTAATAGTCATATTTTCAACGATCATAAACATAAATTCATCGTCATTTATAATAAACTAATAAACATGCACGTCCTCAGTCTTATTTGGCTGAATAAATTGTTTTTAATTATTACTGAATTCAATTAATCAAAAATCTTAATAGCTCTGTATGGATTGTACCTACTTACAAATCGATAACGTAATAACATAAATCAATAACCGTCTTTAATGCAGTTCTATTCCATCAACTTCTCAGGATTCTCTTATTTACGCTAATATTATAAATTTTAATAAAACTAGATTACTTGAAAGTATTTTTATTTTAATGAGTATTCGATACTAAATTTAAATAAAAGGATTAAAATAGTGGTAGGTATTTATAATTTTGCATATCTTCTGGTGAGTGGAGTACTCGTGGCAAGCTCCCAAAAAGGTAAGCAACGTAGCTGAAATTCTTTGGGTATCTGTATTAACATCTACAAAATTGACATGGATGACAGGAGGTGGAATACCATATATGGACGCAGTTATGCCTAAAGAAAGTCTGCACATCATATGCCATGATAGCTAATTGTCCGGATCCTCGCTTTTAGTTCAATATACTCGAGCAATCTGAGTTCGATCTGCGGTGCTGACACCAATGAAATTGTCAATTTTAAGTGCTAACTTATCACGTGCTCAGCGGTAGAGGAAATAATCGTGAGGAACCCTGCATATTTTCGAAATGTTAACGAAGATATGTGAAGTTCGCCAACCCGTAGGACTATGCCCTGATACCCTCCTACCCTGGTACAGAGAAGGTCTTTGCCCAGCAGTGGGACATGTATAGACTGTTACTATACTTACTATTACATCTACCTACCTCGATCATTTTTCTCACGTGACTCGGCGTTTCCACCTCGTCCTTAAGATATTTGTCGACGGTCGCCTCCTCGTAGGATATTTTGTAAACAGTTCCCGCGTCTCCGCTCTCGGTTTTATTGTCTTTGGTTTCAACTTCGGCAGTATCATTACTCTCCAGCTTCGTGGAATTCGCTTCGCGTCGCTTACGCCCGAAGGACGGCTCCGAGCGCCCAGTGTGACTTGGACAGTAAGCCTAAAAATGACATTCTTGATGACGTATCTTTATAGGTAAAAACCCCATAAAAATAAAGATAATAAAAAAATATACAAAAAAGACGTTCTTGATAAATAATGATACCCATGATAAGAATTGATCTGTGAACATCCTGTTACTTCTACAACGGTAGATGTGAATAGCGATTGTGAGATATAGTTTCACTTTTGATTCCGAGATTCCCAAGAACTATTTTCTTGGATTGCTTGTAGTTTTCGAAATTAAGAATTTACCTAAACTTCTTTAAGTGTAATAAAATTAAAGGCCTCACCTTAAATTAAAATTCCACGTCTATTAATAATAACATTATAACTTGATAACAAATATAAATAGCACAAACACCAACTATGTTTAAGTAGTCGATAGTCTATTCCTTGTTGTTAATATTATAGCACTGATAACCTTAGAGTTAGCAATAATAAATAGAAAATTGCTATAGTTTTTTTTATACGATTGACGTAATACCGTTATCGTATTGTTTTCTATTAAATTGTTATTAAGTAAACATCTAATATGTAATATTACATACAAATAAACTTTTGTACAATATTGTATCATAATATCAAATTTAGAATAGAGATAAGTGTATAAGCTATGTCTTTCTGGACTACGATCTTTTTCCTCTTAATCCAGCATAGTTTATAATATATGCTTTATCACATTGCGGGTGTAACGCAGTAAAAAGCTAGTTAATCAGAAAATTTTTGGTTCTAAATTTGAATTGTTACGAATGCACCGTATTACCAAATGGTGAGCGAAGTTACCTAAGAGAGGATGTGATCTGCTATCAGCTCTGTCGTACATGCACCGAGCCAAACGGATCACAATGATGGTCTCTATTTTCAGGGTATATAGCGCTGTAGTCACGTCGGACAAAAGTGAGTGAATTTAGCTTTTGAAATTCCAATTTTGAACTTTAGTAGTGGCTTGAATGTTGGGAAGTCAGCAATAAGACTGGAGTCGCCCTTATACTTCTGATGATTCGACTGGACAGTCAAGCAGCGAGTCATATATAACATATTAAAGTATCTATTCTCGCATCTGATTGCTTAAGTGTAGGTGGACTAACTGTTGTGATTCGATGAATCTCCCTGTACAGTGTTGATTGCTTACCATGGGCAAGCGGCTTATTTGCCACCTTTTCCATATAAACGCAAATTTAACGAAATTAACGTCATAGGTTCCGTAGGTTAAAGATATAAATGTTCGAGAGTTCGGTTTAATGTGGTATTTTTAAATGTTGGCTATAATAGAAGCTTACTGGCTGACATCCGTCCCTGCAGGTGCGGACAGTTGCTTCGAAGACTAAAAAGTTCGATTCGGGGATCTTGAACGCGTTGAATCTCGCTTCTAGAGCGTCACCGTTACGCCCCTTGTCTAATTCTGGGAATACGTCTGGATCCACAGGGCATCTGTAATAATGGTTATTTCGATTCCGTTATAACTGAATCAATCATATCAAAAAATATATAAAAAAATAAGATGTAATTGATGATTTTGATGTTTGATGACTCCGTGGCGCAGTTTCCAAGGTATTGGCTTCGGCGTCGGGGGTCGTGGGTTCGATTCCCACACGGGACAACTGTTTGTGTTACCCACAGATAGTTGTTGCGGATCTGGGTTTTTGTCCGCGTGAAATTTATGTTTGTAAAACGTCCTTACAACACAGGATAATGTTAACCTAAAGTAAGGGCAATGCTTTTAAAAAAAATAACAAAATAACAATAACAATTGTAACATAAGACGTGGTAAATAAATGATCTTTTTAATTTTTGATATAGTATACTTTTTATATTTTTTTTCATATTATTACAATTAGTAACTATCACGTGTTCCGTGGTGAAGGAAAATGTCGTGATGAAACCTACATATATTTTTCAGAAATATTAACAACATAAAAATATTTTGAAGATATATGAAGTCCGCCAATCCATGGTGGGTCTGCGTGGTAGACCATTAAGGCATCCTCTGTACCGACGAGGCCTTTGCCCAGCAGTGGGACCTATACCGGCTGCTACTCTATTATTTCTTTTGACACTCATTACAGACTGAAAACTTATCAGTATAAATTATTACATTGACTACATATTTTTTTTTTTTTAATTATACTGTCAAATTTTTGAATTGAAAGTAATAACGTACCCGACCCTGTCGATTAGTTGCACAGAGCGTCCTGAATATGGATCCCTAGCGATGACGTTCGTTGCAAATATGTCTGTCGCATAGTTGTATCCGTCCTGGGCTTCCAATCTGAAGGTTAGCGGGTCTCCAACTGCGATGGTTGTGGTTGGTCGGCCTTGGTAGAGGATCATTAGGCGAACCTTGGAGTTGAGAGAACTCTCCTCCGGCAAATACTCGATGGGTATGGGACTGCCCGACCTGTCCACCAAATTGTAACCGAAGCTACTGTTAACCTTAAGTTGAGTTTGCCACCAAGCTTTACGTTGACTATGAATGAACGCCATTAAACAGCAACTAAGCATAAATAAGTAATCATCTGCCAGAGACTCTGACTTAAATCAAAAATCGTCATTTTGAGAATTCATTCATAGTCCATCGTTAGTAGCTGTTAGTGAAATAACAGCAAACAGCAAAACACTGAACAATATCAACCACCTGAAAATAATCAACAAGTCCAATGTTAATTAAAAAAATATTTTGTAATAACAAAAAGTAGCACAAACGGACAAATACTAATATACGCACACACGACGAAATCCAAAAACAAAAAACAGCCTCTGTTAATTAAAAAACAAACACTTTGTCAGCTACAAACACTGATCATCGTATATGTCAACGAATCAGCCATCAAATGGCTTTTCAAATCATTTTAGTTGCCAAAAGGACGGTTAAACTCTCTAAATTGACCAGAATGATCTTCTAATGATCAGAACGATCAATCCACAGATGATCAGTGTTTCAGAAACCTGGCGTGAATGTAACAGATATTCCTATTCTATTAGCAATATTTACAGATTCATATGGCATCGGCAAGACTATTGTTTTGTCTCCTGTCTTGCAGACTAATGTCTCTTAATGTAGTCTTAATGTTAATGCATATTAAATATGCAAAAAAACATCATGTCTTTTGTGTTTATGTCGAAAACAAATAGATCGAATAAAAAAAAAACCTGTTCTCCAAATTTAACTACAATCCTCAAGAATCAATTCCGGTAAAGTTGAAGACATGTTAGCCTCGAATATTTAGCCAGCATTTGTGCCGTATCGAGGATGTGAATTTATGTATGCACATACATATATATTTAGTAGAATGATACGTGATATAAATCCGTAATTAGATAACCAACACTACTTACGAAATCACGCCAAATCGGTTATGAGTTATTGTAAAATTTCAAAAGAATTCAGTTGCATCTATTGAAAAACCCTTAGTGCTACACAGTGATATTAAACGGCGCCTATAATACAGCATTTGCTTATTGGTGTGAATGGAGTCAGATTATTCATACTGAACATAGCATTAAATTTCAATTGTATTTTTAAAGAAATTGAACTTTAATGTTATTGCAGCGATTATTTATTTCTTTGTTGCTCATATTCTCTGTTGGATGTGATTTTTTATCGATATCTTAATACTTGTGGCACGTTTGAGATTGTCGAATAGATGCAACGACCCACACAAATGAAATTCTCACCCGGCACCAATATAGTTCGATGTGACCACCGCTTCAGCTGGCCCGCGGAAGAGACAGGTGAGGTTAAATCTCTTGTCGCGGGACGTCTGCACATTGTCGCTGAACTGGACGACCACTATGTTGGTCATCGTGTCTCCGTACTGTGGAATGAGAGGGCGTTGCAATCGTGTTTCATCGAGGACCCACACCTGTATTAGTACCCACCCGTTGGGTGCCGCATTCGGGGTATCCATGGGCGCCGGTGATCCGTAGCGCATTAACGACGCCCCCATTGCCGCGGAAGAAGCAACGGTCGTAGAAACCGTAGGTGTACATCCGTCCGTAAAACCCTTCGGGCAGACGCAGCGTGAACTCCATCCCATCCTCGTTGCAAACTTGCGACACTGCACGGGAGTCACGAGTTTAAAAATCCGCGCCAAAAAGTCACAGGGAACCAGCAGTAGTTGGGCTCACCGTCGAGACAGTCGTCGGCAATGCGACCTAGCGCCCTCTCGTAGAAGTCGTACTCGTTAGCTGTGTTATCAAAGTGCGCGGGGTTGGCCGCGTCTAGTTCCCGGGTGTCGCGATCGCTTAGCTCGCAATTGTCCCGCGTTTCGGCGCCGTAACTACCTTCCCTAATACAGAACATATCAGCGTTAGAAACGTATTTGACATAAACAACTGAGGAAGAGTAGTACTTTCTCCCGATATGTATGCAAGCTCAACCGCCGAAGTAGCGGGTATGCAGAAGACACATTAATTTTCAAATTAATTGTTCTTTTTAGGTTATTCTGGCGTGTGAAATAACTGGACTCCCATCACCTTAAACCGTAAGGAATACACCTACAATGATTGTGATTTTGTAGATGTCCATGGACTATTCCATGAAGAAAGAATGAACATCCTGTGTGTTTACCCCTTTCGCTACTAAAAATAACACTACGCAAGAATAACTGTTGTAAAAACGACTTACCTGTAGTTGAATGACCGGCAAATGAAGTCTCTCGCTTCGATACATTCCCTTTGGCAGTGCGCCAAAGAGTTAGCGGTGGTGAAACGGCGCACAAATCGCCTCTGCATACGTTGACGGCCGACTTGTCTGAAGCTGTCTTCTTCACAACGGGACCCCTGCCATGGACGACCACCGACTGGTGGTCTCCCAATCGGACCTCCAATAGGTGCCCCCACGGCGCCACCGATTGGACCACCTACCGCCCCTCCAATGACGGGACCGCCTATAGGACCTCCAATAGGACCTCCAATTGGCCCACCATGAGGTCTAGAAATTGGCCCGCCGATAGGTCCTATTGGTCCGTCTGTCTCGTAACCTCCATACCCTGCTCCACCTATGATAGCATATATCATGATTTCTCGTGAAGGTAGTGATGAAACGCTTTTATGATAATTTTATTTATATAATTTACCTATAGGTCGGTCCAGCCCTGGTGATGGGTAGCTACCCCTATAACCACCTGGTCGATCTAAAGGTCTTCTTAAATCAAATGTAGGTCTTGGTTCATTAGGATACCTAAAAGTATAGTAAGGTAAGACAATAGGCAAAAAATATGTACACACGCGAAATTCAGTACTAGCCTTTGAGATTATACCTGTCTGGGCCAGGTCTAACACCCCTATCTGGGAACCGCTCGCTACCCGAGTATTCGGAACCGTAGTAGCTTCCACGTCCGTAACCTAAATAAACAATACGAAATGAAGCATATCAACTGCGAGAAAGTGGTTTAATTTTGGATATAAAGCGGTTAATATAAAAAAAAAAAACTAATCCTTACCAAGATACGACGACCCGGTCGGCGGATACTTGTCGTACAAATCAGGGTAACGCTCGCCGCCTAGTGGGGCCGGGTCTCGATTGACACCCACTGGGTAGCGACTGGAGGGATACCTCCCCCAATTATTAGCGCCGGAAAAGCGGTCCTGGTCGTACCGATCAGGATAACGGTTAGGGTACCATGCGGGACGGGGCGGATACCTCCCACCACCACGGGCTGGATACCTATCTGATGGGTATCGATCGTCGGGATACCTATCGGGGTACACGTCGATGGGATACCTGCTGATAGGGTATCGTTCCGAGCTCGGATATCTACCTATTTCGTTAGTCTGGTAGTCGTACGGATACCGTCCACTGTCAACTGGGTTGCGGTCTCCTGGATATCTATCCGGTGCCGGATATCTGTCGACGCTCGGCGGGTATCTGTCTACCCCCGGCGGGTATCTGTCTACCCCCGGCGGGTATCTGTCTACCCCGGCGGGTATCTTCTACCGCAGGCGGGTATCTGTCTACCGCCGGAGGGTATCTGTCTACCGCTGGGAATCTGTCCGAAGGGAATCGATCGGGGCCGACGCCAGGGGGGTATCTGTCGTCGGGATACCTATCCGGCGGCGGGTAGCGATCGCCCGACGGATACCTTTCGGGGTATAGGTCGGGACCAGCCGGGTACCGGTCGTCCGACGGCGAGAACCGGTCCGGCCTCCGATCGTACCGGTCGTCATCGCTTGAGTACCGATCTTCGTCGGGGTAGCGGTCGACGCCGGGCGGGTATCTGTCGCGATCGCCGCTGTTACCACCTTGAAAGTGAAGTATTGTCTTAACCTTTCAAAATTCAATGGTGTTTTAGTAGTATTTGCAACTAATTAATACTGAGCATGCACTACATAAAAAAATGCTTAATAGACAAATAGAAGTTTACAATTGATACTCAAAGCTACAAAACTAAACTACAAACTACAAACTACAAAACGCAATCTATTACTTATTCATTTACATAATGATGTTATGTATATTAACATGCACTAGACTGGTGACGTTACCATGCAGTGACATTATATGGTCACAATTGCTAACTTAAGTTTTTTATGCTCTATTTAATTAACAAACAGAAACAAATCAGTAAATCCGAGCACCTTTAACTAAAATATGCAAATCTATACTACACTTCTTATTTCTACCAATACTGATTATCATATAACTTATACTAAGAGTACAAAAAATATGTAAAATGTAAAGCCAGTATACTCAAAAAACCGGACACGACAACACGAACAATCACAAAATAACAATCAATGGAGAAAAATGTACTATTGAAAACACCTAATTAGCCAATACAATCCTACTACGTTTTGACTTTCATGCATCAAACCTGTTTTGGACCCCGGCCTTCCCCAGGGTGATTGAGAACTAGTCCCCGCTCCCCCCGCATCGGATTCACCACTTACTAGCTGATCTAAATCCCCAAAATTGTAATAATATTATTAACATGTAATAGCAGCTTGCTCAGAACAATCTAAGTTAACTATACATATATAATTTATTACTGTTAAACTATTTCCATGGATTGAACTTATTCGAAATTATGTGCTTAAATGCACCGACAATACAATTAAAGATTTTAAAATGAATACGTTTCAAGAACAATTTCCAATACGGAGAATTTTCTCAATAATAATATGCTCGGTTTGTTTTTTTTTTTGGTAAATCATGTATTTTGGAAATTACATTTAGGTTCAAATTACTAAGTAATGAAATATGCATAATATGTTTCGATCTTACCGACGTAATAATAAGAAAATATGAACTTGTGTTTTTCACAAAAGAAATAACTTTAAAAAAAAGGGAAAACAATAACAAAATCATCTGGATCGACAAAAAAATAAAAAAACCATGATCTGGAATCGAAATAAAAGTAAAAAAATAAGTGTGTAAATGATCGTGAGACGAACCACGGCCTTCTGTTCCGTGGCTGTTTGTTAGCCCGATTACCGCCCGAGCTATTATAACGTTTTTTTTTTTCGGTGAAATTTACCGTATTCTAATAATATTTTTCATTCCCTGAAAACTGGGATAAAAGACATTTTCTAAAAATGAACTATTTCATGAAAATCGCTGGAGCCGTTTCCGAGATTCCAATTAAGTATATATATATATATATATATATATATATATTTTATATACAGGAATTGCTCGTTTAAAGGATAAGATTAGTGTAAGGGAGTTTTATTATCAAAAATATTAGTCTATTTAAATCTTTACAAATTAAAAAATATGTTAATTAAGTTATTGTTAATTTCATTACATTTAAATACATTTGAAAACAATAAAACAGAAATCTAAACGTTATAGGATTTCGGCTACAATTGGCTACAAATACGGCTAAAATTGAATGTCATAAATTATAAGTTTATGTAGTTGCAATTAGTGCTAATGATAAAATGTACTTCTTATGTCGCACGTCCTATATTTTTTAATTATTAACACTGTTTTATGTCCACATCTAATAAATAAGTTCTGTTATGACAATGTTTAAGTTTGAAGTATAGGTTATTGTATTACCGTGTTTGCGAATACGGCAAAAATTATCACAACTAACCTAGACGTATTTGTATGTCACAGACAAGAGATGTGTTTACATAAATGTATTTAATCGAGATGCACCAAGATGTGCGGTTTAGGATGGGCGAATAAAATATATCCTACTAGACTTAATGGAATGATGGTCTATTTTTGTAACAAAGATGGGTTCAATGTCGCTCGTTCTGCCTTGTTAAAGTAATTGGCCACTTATATTGTAGAGTGTTCCCGTTTCACGAACTTTTAGGACAACCATAAGAAGAGTTGCTACAAACCAACTATTAAAATAACCTAGAATATGCTGTAAATTGTTGTAGGCTTTATTCAAAATATTATAGGGGATAGACATTAAAAACTATTCTGAATCTTATATTAATATAATATTTATAATAATAAAATAAAAAAAATTACTATCATAATGTTTTCAAACGCGCCAAAAGAAGTATAACTTCAAAAACGAAGAGTATCATTACTACAAAAATATCACAAATCACTAAAAATATCACTAATCTATCGAATGTAGGCTATATTAGTAACTACCATGATTGTAGTAATGAATCTTTATAAACATGATTCTGAATATAACAGACTAAAATCGATTAAATTACTACTTATTACTAAAGTACTTACATATTACTTTGATTAATCTAGTCCGAGGAAATTACAAAACATGGAGACAGTAATGAAATTCAATAAACATCTTCTCATATCTACTTACTGTTAAGCAATAACGTTCTCACGTGTATGTTGCACTTGTTCAAGACAGTCTCGAACAAATGTCTATTTAAAGATGTGTCATATCATTGCCTAGATAATTATAATGCTCATTGATTGTTTCATAACCAATGCATTCGAATTTGGAAAAGACAGAATTTGTCCATGTTGATTTTTTATTGGCATACATAATAATTATGTTAAAATGACAAAGTCTGCTTACTTTGTCATTACTTTTTCTCATCACAAAACAAAATTTATTCATAGAATAGTGTAGCATACCCATTATCAGATATTAAGCATGAAAAGGTTTCTATTACTTATATTATAATAACGTATAAAATTTTGGTTCAGTATTCTGCCCATGTAAAATTTCAAGCCATGGAAAACAATTTTATTTGACAAATTTAATAAACAAACGTGTAATAACTGATGTAATTCTATATGGGAAGCGTTAGACTCGACTGTATGTATTCCTGGCATAGCTATCGATTAGATGTCAAACTGCAATGGCGCTACCATATTAATAAACTGGCGAATAGACTTATTAGCTCAGAACCCCTCGCGGTTAAAAAATAGATTGATTGATTTGGATACGGCTCGTTTGGTTTATTTAATTTATTTATTTACGCAGTATAATGTCTTAGGACATTCTAGTCCAAAAGTTAATGTTCCGGGATACGAATAATAAACAAAGACTATTTGAAGTTGCATTTTTGGGCAATATTGTAGTTTGTTATTTTTTTATTCAGATGTATTTGTGCCTTAGTTCGTTTATGAACATTATGACGATCATTTGTCAAAAAGACTTACGCATAAGATTCTCGTAGTAATCAAAGTCTGGGTCGTAAAGCAGTCTCATGCCATCCTTCTGATTGTATCTGCTCAAACGACATGTCCTCGCGCGGTCGCTGTACACGGCAGACCTGGACGAAAACAATTTAAAAATAGAACTTCAATATGTGTCATACAAAGTCGTGTCGTATCGTTCACTGAACTCTACGTTATAAGGTAGCAATACACTAGCGTTTTGTCATTTTTACAATTTGCTATTTATTAGCGGCCAGCCGTAAATTGGACTTCAGCTGTGCCCTTTTTATATTTCAAAAGAAGTGTTTTGATGTACACAATTTGGCATTAAAACAGAAACAAACAAAATCGTAATCATTCAACAGCTTTTTTAGCATGTGTTTATGATAAATACTGCCTGCTTTCCTCGATATGTCAGCACTATTATGTTGACGTCTTATTATTAAGCGAATTGTAGGTCGAATTCTGTTAAAATGATAAGATAACTTTGCTGTAATCAGCCAACAACAAAAATATTGTTATGTTAAATTTTGATTTAGCATCGCGTTACTTAAGGGGATTTTGTTTTTTATTAGAGTGAGTGGAAAGCAACGCAGAATGGTCAGGCGTAACCGCAGTATAGCGAGAGTATTAGAACAATGGTCACCTCCCTAGGGTATGGATCCCTGGCGATCACTCAGCAGCCTCGGCTGTTGCACAAATGGGCAGGCTCGTCTGGGGAAATACCACGACTTCACAGAAGACCGGCGTGAAGTGGAAGTGTTATACTTCTTCGTTTCGTCTGCTAATTGAGATAACCGGCGCCCACTTTATTACAATGGGTGTCGCAGACGTCCACGGGCGGCGATTACGAGTTAACATCGGGCGAATCGCGAGCTCGCTTGTCACCGTCTCGCATAAAAGACAAAAACCTTCACCCCAGTCTTTTCATCAACGTAACTGAGGCACGACTCAACGTAACTGCGTCACCTGCACTGAAAGCCCGCCGTACCGAATCTCAACTACTAGGGTTGTACCGCACTAAAAGCTGCCGCCCACTCAACGCAATCGAGGCGCGTCACCTGCACTGAAAGCTGGTCTGTCGCAGGCACTCGTCCAAGCACTCGCTGAGCGAGCGGCCCGTGATCTCCGAGTGGAACTCGCCGGTGATCCGGCTGTTCCTGTACCGCTGGAATGCGGTGTCGGGCCGCCGGCCGGGCGCGAACAGGTGCGACGTGACGCTGTTGTCAGGATACTCCGTGCCCCGAGCTGTCACCCGATGGGAAACTGATCGTAATTGCGAGAGAGAACCTTATTGGGGCTTCGCTGTGACTCGACACGGATAAGATATTTTTTTTTGTTTAAATATTTCGGTGCGATCGTTGCTTATTTGTTTTCTAGTTTAAGTGAATTGGTTGTTTAGGTTGTTACTATGAGTAAGAGTACATAATTATGTCTATAAAAATAAATGATACATGGCGGAATTGCATTTGAAATTTTACCTTTCCTTTATTTATTTTTTCAATATTATTAAAAACAAACTATTATAATTACAGTAACAACAATGAGAAGTGGCAACGCAAATTATCTATTGAATAGACATCTTATACTTCATGTATGAATTCATAATATATTTGACAATAACATTACGAGAAATAACCGGTTCTTTCTTATCTTTTCACACTTTTTTGCGTTCCCGGGATATTTCATGATAATTTGTTACTTTGTTAGTACCTATTTGCAAATATTGTAAATTATCTTTCGTGTGTAGGAGTTTATTTAATATTCTAAGTAAAAATATAAAAATATGTGTTGGTGCTCTATGTATTTTGTTATCTGTACTTACGATTATCCAAACAGACGAGGTCATAAAAATGATGCGTTGGTGATGCGCTGACGGTGACATCGTCCTTCTGAGATACGGAATCCTCCTCGGAGAGAACGCATTGGCGCGTCATAGCGTCGTGTTCGATGGATCGACAGAAGTACCTAGTAAAGAACGAAAAGTGTGACGAATGTAAAATAATTTCCAGGCGGAGGAGACAAAGATTCGCTAAATCCAACAAATAATGATGTCATTATTTGTTGGATTTAGCGAATCTTGTTTCGACTGAATTTTCTTGCGACTTAATGAACAGTATATGATTTAAATTTTAAACATTTATTATAAAAACGTTTAAAAAGATGTTCTAATTCGGACGGAGCCCATTGATACTTACATTTTAACACAAACAATTATATGAAAAACCTAAAAATTAAATGGAAATATTTGATGATTTATATGAAAAATTGGGAACACTTTTGTGCAGAGGAAGTATTTTAATAGCATTTTGAAGAAGGTGTTTGAAAAAAAATCTTCTTACTTTTCAGCGCGCACACACATCGATTGGCATTCATCTAAAGTCATATTCGAGAAGACGTCAGCTTCGAATGGACCACCGAGGCGTTTGTTCTCTTCTTTTATGAACACCGCTAATCCATCACAGCGTCTTTCCGCTGCAAAAAATGTGTCTTACTCTTTACACACGAAATGAGAACTGAATTGATATCAGAAAACATTTTATAAGATGACGAGGTCAGTTGATAAATTAATAAAAGAGATTTTTCTTTTGTCAGAAAAGACGACTATTTGATGTTATAACCATTTTATAGAAGTCCAAATATGTTGAGGCAATTTAAATTAAAACATATCGAGTTTGCTATTTAAATTAAATTATAAATAAATTTAATGAATTGATATCAGAAAACATAAGATGACGAGGTCAGTTGATAAATTAATAAAAGAGCTATTCTTTTGCAAATCATATTGGAAAGTCAAATTTAGCCGTCATAAAAGAAGATTATTTAATTTTGATGATACAACAATTTTATAGAAGTCCAGATATGTTGAGGTAATTAAAATTGAAACATATTGAGTTTGCTATTTAAATTAAATTATAAACAAATTCTTCGTTTATTGTGTAACAAAAGGAAGATTTGAGGAAAATTTATGTAATAACATTTTATTTGGTCACTAGTTATTTGTTACATGCGCCCTCACGGATATTACGTAAGGCATTTCAATGTCTAAAGAAGGTCATAACGCTTATCAAAAAACGAGACAAAGACTATGGTAGGGCCACGTAACAACCTATAAGTGTTGAACGGATGGACAGACTCATCCGGAAGAGTGTGAATGTGAAGTGGAGGTATTTTCGCCCTTAGTCTGCTGAGTGAGTTAACCGACCCACTATTTAAAAGATTGTCAAAGCATCTATAACCCATCAGATGTTGCAGATGTCCATTTGCGTTGCTAATCACTTAATATCAGGTGAGCCGCCAGCTCGCTTCACAACTTTTCACATGAAACAAACAACTTGCTTCTTTTGATGAAATCAGACAAACAAAATCCGTTACAGATCGTACCGTTGAGGCACGTGTTCTCGAGGTAGTCGGCGTTGTGGTCGTCCTCCAGCAACTCCGGGTGGGTGCGCCTCGTGAATCGGCTCAAGGAGCAGGTCCTTAGGGCCGAGTCGTACGTCGCCGAGCGGCAGACGAAGCTGAACTCGCCCAGGCACTTGTCCTCGCACTCCGTGCGATTGGCCACCATGATCTCCTTTAGATCCGAGGCGGGCAGCTTCAGGCGCTTCCTGGCGTGCCGCTCGAACACGTAGCGGCGAGACGGACATTCCCTTTCGGGGCGGTTGGCTGGGCGGGAAAATCTTTGGATGGAACAGTTGTATTGCACGACGTATTTATAGTCCCTACTAGCTGACCCGGCAAACGTTGTTTTGGCATATAAATTAATTGTAGGGTAGAAAAAAAAATTAGGGGTGGACCACCCTAACATGGGAGGGATGATAAATAGATGTTGTCCGATTCTCCACCCAGGCCGATATATAAAAGTTCAATTACAAACACCGTGACACGAGAATTTTATATATCAGACGTATTATTTGTCAGAGCTGTATTTATATCTGTTTCAGCTTCCATTTCTTTATTGAATTTAATAATTCTAACACTAATTAACAGCTTGTATTTACCTCTGTTGACGAAAATTGGACAAATAGAATAAAGTTAATGTTTTCATAAAAATTTCTTATTAAGAATGTGTGACAATGCAATCCTATTGAAACCTCGTGATGCAAGATGATAAAATCCACAAATTACAGTTTTTTCGTAAAATTTATTGCTGAAAGTACCTAATAAAAAAATTAAACACGTGGAAAAATTATTATGAAGCGGTACCTACTAAATAGAATGTGGCACAACCGTAATTTAAATAATGATGTTGTACCGCCGTTCGTCAAACATAACAACAATGGTCATTCAGTGACCTTAATTTACGAGTAACGTCATTCAAAGTGGATTTTTACATGATAAGTGTGTGATATAGAACATAGCACGTTATAAGAACATAATCCATATATCTCTCATGCAAATCGTAAGTCGTTACAATTGAGTAATAAATAGTAAACGTAACTAAACAGAATGAACATCTACATTAATAAATGTGAGTGTAGTGTTATAACCACATGAAAATTAAAAAGCTATTTCTATACATATCTACAAATACTCGATTAGCCAACGCTGTGATCGGACCGAAAAAAAATGCAAATTCTTCCACTGCATTGGTGAGGAAAATACTTCTTTTTAATGCGAGAATTGTAAGCAGGTAAATCATTGCGACCAGTCACTCACATGTGAGACAGATTTCGTTGAAATGCACGCTGTTGGGGACGATCATGAGGGTGCCGATGCCTTCTGGGGCGGCTTGCTCCCTCGTGAGGTAGCAGGTCGACTCCTCATATTCCGGCTCGGGGCTGAAGGCGGCTATGCGAGCCCCTGGTTGGAAGTCGATGGAGTTGCAGGTGCGCACAAGGCTGTTGCCCGAACGATCGCGTAGGCAGAGGTCCTGGCACTTCTCAAGGACTCGAAATGGCGGCGCTGTCTCCCGTACCTGTTATCCATTGAGTTGTAAAAATCTCATTATAGATATCATCATCATTTTAGTTTCTTTTAATGCATCGCCGAAAATAGGCCACAGACTATCACGAAGCACGATCCTGAGCCACCTGTATCTATCAACTTCCAGTATATTCGCATTCCATCATGCAGCGGGTCGTCCTACACTGCAATGGCCAATACGAGAACTCAAGAACCAAAGAAAAGATAAGACAGCATCCATGATATTAATTGAATGTGAATATATTGAAATGGTGGTCGGATTCGTAATAAATTTAAAGTACCTGTAGGACCAAGCTTTGCTCGGTTTTTTTGTTAAACCATGTATTTTGGAAATAAAAAAAATAAGAAAATTATCTGGTATAGAAAAAAAAGTAAAAAAAAAAACAATTGTTTAAATGACCGTGATACGAACCACGGCCGTCAGTTTCGGGGCCGCCCGAGCACATACCGAGCTAATGTAACATTTTTTTTGCGGCGAAATTTACTGTCATATTCGAATGATATTTTTCATTCCCTGAAAACAGGGATAGGGATGCTAGATCGGTTTTTCACCCTCGAATCTACGCACATCTTTGCCAAATATGGCAGAAAACAAATATGGATAAACGCCTTATCATTATTTGCGAAAATTGTTCACCACAAATTAGTTGCAACATTTTCAGATGATGTTTTCTGTATTTGGTTATTAGTTATTCATATTTAGTTATCATTGTCTGTGGCTATGTAACAATTATATTCTTTATATAATTATTATATAAAGGACTATAATAAAGTAATAAATCACAGGTGACCGTACTAAGAGAGTTCAAATAAATGTTAACAAATTCATTAATAGATAAAATCTTATACGTGTTTATGGTTGATATTCAAAAATGAACGAATTTAATACTAGTTATGTACTAATTACATGCTCCGAGTGTGGCGGTAATAAGCATTAAATGAGGTATTCGTGGTAATTATCATTTATTCTTATCATAATATGTAACTCAAGGTTAACTGTCTTTGTTATTTTCTTTTAACAGCCATAAGTCTGACTCATTATTCGACAATTCAACGGTTTGTTCTATTTTTACTTATACTCAATACATTTTGTGTTTATTATGAATTTTTATATATAGTTATAACAAAATATTTAACGTTTTCTTCTGCAGGTTATTAACAGAATGATTTAAACGTAATGTTTATTATAAAATGCTTAACGTAATGTTTATAATAAAGTAAAATCGGCCAGTGCCGGGTTAACCAAGTAGCAAGAGTAGCAATTTCGACGGGTCAAATGGTGCCCCGCATATTTAAACCCACTCAACTATGTCTTAATTATAAGAGTGAAACTTATAAAATAAGTAAAAGTAATATTAATTATATTAATTTTTTTTTATACCATTTTATACTTAAGCATATAAGATTAGCAGATCAAGGGATGATTGAAAGAATTTGCTACGGGCCCCGCGTTTGCTTAATCCGGCACTGAAGTCAGCGAAACGATAATGAATATTTACATAACTTTAAGTGTAGTTAAATATAAATAGAGATAAGAATAATTAATTTGCACGCACCACGTCGTCGTCGAATCCATGCAATTGTTGATTTGGTAAACGTTCGTACATAACTCGACCCATTCCCTGGTTACATGTTGTTTGTGCTGGAAAGATACACAATTTTTCATATGTCAGGTTTTATTTTTATAGTCTTCATTTAGCACCTGCACTCTACTTTTCACCATGACAAGGGTTCACTGGTAGAGAATGCCATTAGGCATTGCAGCCCTTAGCTTAAGGTGAAGCAATGAAGCTTAAATAAATAAATACCGTGTAACCAATCATCCAAGAAGTACTCGTTAATGTCGTCATTAAATTCATTATGTTGGTATTATCTTCTCGATAAGAGTGCATCGGCTTTACTTGAAGGATTGTGTTATTCACTCATAACTATAATTAGTTCACTCAGAACTTTTCCTATCATCAGGTCGAACTAGACAGTGCGTTAAAGATAATTGGCCATGTTATAACTATGGGGCCTCTTTTTAATATTTGCGAAAATTGTTCACCAGCTTAGAGTTACGAATTTGTACTTGCTTTTTTGGACTCATGTTGGATTTCTACGAAATTAAGCATTTCTATTGGCGTTTGAGTACCTGTATGCGTTTTATTGTCCCTTACTATGTACACACATTCACGTAACAGCCTATACATGTCCGACTGCTGGATAAAGGCCTCCTCTTTAGATGATATTAGGGCATAATCCATGACCGGACCCTACTGCGGATTGGCAACTTCATATATTTTTGAAATATATTTGATTTCGAAAATATGCAGATTTCCTCACAATGTTTTCCCTGACCCTTTAGCACGTAATAAGTCAGCGCTTAAAAATGCAATGATTGAGGTCGATTTCATGATAGTAATTTCGTTGTTAACAAGAAATAGTTCATTCCCAGTATATACTTCTCGTGTTTAATTTAAATAGAAAAATATTGTTCTATACCCCGGAACAGAAAACAATGTCATTATCTCAATTATGATAAAATTTAAGTGCCATTAAGTTTTATACATTTTTGTTAATTATTACCATGAAATTTGATACTATCGTTTTATAACAGTCGTAATAAAAGATGAGTACTATTATCAAATATATTTTTTTCGTGTATTCGTTAAATGTATGTAAAATTTTATTATAATGTAAAATTCGGCGTTTCATAAGGATGCGCTAGCGTCTATTTTAATAAAGATATTTTGTATTTGAATTTATAAGTATTCAATTTAAACCTTATGACTGTAGATGCTGATATCGAAAGTTTGAAAATTTTAAACCAAAACTCATACACCATAAAAAATTGTTCAATAGTTTTATATGACGATTAATGTATTTTTCTTATAATTACCATTAGCCATTGTGAGCATTGTAAAAGCAGTGAAAGCGTGCATGACGCTCAGTCCCCGCGGCTTCATCTTCAGACCTTGCTATTTCTGCTCCGCGCAACGGGTCACCGGCGTCTCATATGGTCTGAAACGTAACATAATATAATATATAGTCACCAAATGATTTTCTTTTTCTTCTTTTTCATTAATTATTTTATTTGTGAACCCACCTCAACTTATCTGGAACACCAGTTAGTTCGACTGGTGTAAATTGCATTTGGCACTAGGTCCGCCTATTTACCACGTATTTTGTGTACAAAGTTCAAATAAATAAGATTGTCACTATTCAAGAAAATCTCTTATCTAAATTTCAGTTGCCAAGGTAAATTTCCCGTTGTCGCTAGGTTAAATTTCATTATTATTGGAAGAACGATAAGATTATATTCAAGCTATCATGTGTGACATATTTACTTCTGACTCGTGCTGTCTATAAAGACGATATCTTCTATGTACATGAGAGCACGCTTACTGCGTGGTTAGCAGAAGGCTGTAGAATAAAATAAAGATTCTAATGGGTTTAGTGGTCATATCTTATTTTCGAGAAAGTTTTCAAGATTCAAAGATTCATCATAGCATAGCCCAAGTATCCAGTCTCTAAGTTTGACGCGAGGATAAGAAAAGCGCAAAACAGGAATTAACGAAGGAAATTTCCTATACCGAACATTATTAGGGATCCTTCTTATCGGTGCCTAAAGTAATTTCTTGAACAGTAACACTTTGAACTGGATTTAAAATGAACATGACTTTGCGATATGATAACTTAAATGCATACGTCTAGTATCATGGTAAATTGTAGGCATCAATTATTATTATACGAGTATTAGTAACAGCATATACACGACACTATTGTGAGTCTGGGCATGGTTCTTTTCACAAAACTTTGAATATATCCTCATAAATAATGACAAAAGAGGAATAATGACCAAGGTCTTAAGTGCTACATTAATTTGCAAAAAAAAAAGCACAATTTAATATAAGGGAAAGTAAATGTTAGAACCAATCTCAGCCAAGTATGTATGTTATATAATTATATACATATCCAACAAAGTTGAATATAAATAATAAACTTATTACGTAGGACATTGTTAGAGATAACGTAAATTATTTACTGTACGCATTATGCCCGGGAATCGTTACTGAAAGATTTGTGCGTTTGTTTTGATCAATATAAGTAGCCCTGAAATAACGTGACTGTTCGCTTGTTTTCTACCTTGAATAAATGGAAACATAAATAAAGACGCCATAAACAAGTAAACAAGAAATAAAAATAAAAGACAAGAATGAAAATTCTCATGCCTCGGTTGGAAAATTGTTTGAGTCACAGGTTTAATTCCGACGGACAATATCCTATGATTTATAAATAACTAGCGACCCTTCCCGCCTTCGCACGGGTGCAATGTATTATACATACAAACATTCCTCTTGAATCACTATATCTAATAAAAAAAACCGCATCAAGATCCGTTGCGTAGTTTTAGAGATCGAAGCATACATAAGGAAAGACAGCGGGACGACCTTTTTTATACTATGTAGAGATTATCCTGTCATTGGTTTCGTATTTGCGTATATAAAAAAAATCCAAAGACGAAACGCAAACGTTTTTTGTGAAAAAAAAAAAAAACGAATAAAGAACTTCTTATTCGAAGACTTTACAAATCCTTCGATTTTCCTTTACTCAAACATGTTGACTTGATTAAAAAGGGGGTTGACTCAAATAACACATTTTGTAATTAAAAAAATATAAGAAATTAAATATTGTATATCAATTCATTGAAAAGTAAAAATTGGAATTCATATTGTTAGCTCTGTACCATTTAACATAATATTTATAATTGTATTTAAAAAATAAATGTTTCAACTCAAAACTGGCCTTATGCATATTGCGAACGCAATATCATCAGCAAAAAATGATCGGTCCGTTGACTGAAATGAATGTGATTCGACGCAATTGAGAACAAGGCTGAATGAATTGTACATGCGAATACAAACATGTCTAATCAATCCTATAGTTTTGCATTATATATAAGTCCTAACAATAGGTATATTATAAATTTTCCAGTAAATATTTGTTGGGTGAATATCTATGCAAATATCTTTTGTAAAAGGCACTGAGGACGTTCTGTTTGTTTGGACATGAAGGGTTTGACCGAGGGCTTTGCAGAACTTTGTAGAATTATTCCAGTCTGTTGAATTAATGGTTTTATGATATTTACGAATTCTACTTAAAGAATTTAAAAAATTGGTCGAATAACCGTTTAATGAGTCTGTTAGGTTCTATTGCGTATCGGAACGTCCTGATTAGGGTGGAAACATCCACTTACTCGATTGCAGTCTCTCAAATGACGACGTGTATCACCCATCCAAGGAAGTAATAAATAGCATGTTGAATGTCAAATGTCATATTGTCCTGATGATATCGGAACTATAATGGCAAGAGCAAAAGCAATTCAGCGTTGCAGTTTCCGCGTAATTGGCCTATCGCTTGTGCGCACAAACAAAACGTTACTTCGAACGCGGCATGGAAAATGGGGAATGCGACGCATGCGCAAATAACTACAATAAATGTACTGTTAAACTATTGATAGTCGGCGACATTATTGACATGTGACCGAGGCGGACATGGATACCGTTATCATGTAGATTAGTGAAATAGGGGACGGTCGAAATAGCTGTTTTGGAGCGACGACCCGATCTGAAACTGTCAGATACTTGTGACACCGAAATGGGCGGACAGCGTCCGATTTTCAGATAAAATACTCCTTGAATATCTTTATTTTATAAAAACAGATGCCGAAAGTATCTTGTACTTTAGTACAAACGCCAAATATCTGTTTTGTTTCCATATGATGTCATGATAGCGTTTAAATCAATCGAAATAGACTAAGCATTATAAATTAAATTAATCATTTTAAATTAAAGCATTTTATAGCGTGTAGCATAGCTTCTAATGGTACACGAATGTTTGTCCCGTATGGGAATGGAATCACAATACCCAGCGCCGAAAGTAATAGATTGGCAAATGCGCCACTGACCCATTGTTTGTTAGGAACAGTAAGAAGTACACCGACTACAAATAGAAAGAAGTTATTCATTTCTTAATTTTTTACGTATATTACTATACTGTTTTTAATAGTATTTTGACAATCAGTAAGAGAAAGATATTTGAGTTTGAATTCGGTTGTATTATTAATGTTTGTTTCCTCAGAACTCCGTCATTTATGAACCGATTTTGAAAATTATTATTGCGTTGGGTTCGGGTTTGCTACCAATTGCATTAATATTGGACTCTAGAAATATATTGAGTGAGACATTTTAAATCTGTTTAGTATTTTGTTAGTAAAAATATTTTACTAGTTAATAACATTACTGTGAACAGTGTTGAACACTGAAAGTGAACAACACAACATCGAAATCGACAAAACTTGATGTAAGCAACGGTCACAGCGTTCGTCACAGCCCTACTTACGAATCTACATAACAAAACGGTCTCTCAGAGGCCTCGGACTATGAAAATTTCGGCTTTTCCTAAAAAAAAATGTACCGATCGAAAGCGGATGCCCGCATCCGGCGCATTGTGTCCGAACGATGTCCCCACGTGAGTAATTTAGTAATGACGTAGCTTCTAAATTTTTACATGTATCTATGGCGTGTAATCGTGTCTCGTGCAATCGAAGATTGGTTTATATACAGATAAAAGTCGGACTTCGATTGCCTTGTAAATTTTGTGTAACTATGAAAACTCCCCGAGGCATTCCCTAATCTTATCCTTTAAACAAGCAATTCTTGTATATATCTATATATATATATATATATAAACAGGAATCGGAATCTCGGAAACGGCTCCAGCGATTTTCATGAAATTTAGTAAGTGCGTAGATTCGGAGGCGATTTCATTTTTAGAAAATGCCGTTTTATCCCAGTTTTTGGGGAATGTAAAAATATCACTCGAATACGACGGTAAATTTCACCGAAAAAAAAAATGTTATAATAGCTCCGTCGATAACCGCGCGGCCCCGAAACAGAAGGCCGTGGTTCGTGTCACAATTATTTACACACTTTTTTTACTTTTTTGCGACTCCAGATCATTGCATTCTTTATTTTTTATTTTTTTCGATCCAGATGAATTTGTTCTTTTTTACCTTTTTTTAAAGTTCTTTCTTTTGTGAAAAACAGCAGTTCATATTTTCTTATTATTACGTCGGTAAGATCGAAAAATATTATGCATATTTCATTACTCAGTAATTTGTATGTAATTAATGACTAAATGTAATTTCCTAAATACACGATTTACCAAAAAAACACAAACCGGTCCTCCAGGTACTTTTTCTATAAAACACCCAATACATAGTACACTAATATCAATATATGAGCATTTTTAACAAAGATGTCGATTAAACTTAATTAATTGTACTTTAAACAAACTTTGTATGTAAACAATTCCTATAACGAAAAAGGCGATCGGTTTTAATTCAATATACTCGAGCAACCTGAGTTCGATCCCCGGTGCCGGCACCAATGAAATTGTTAATTTTAAGTGCTGAATTATCACGTACTCAGCGGCGAAAGAGGAAGAAACCTGCATATTTTCGAAAAATTAAAAAAAATCGAAGATTAGGTGAAGTCCGCGAGTCCGCAGTTTGGCCGCTTGGTGGACTACGTCCTAATACCTTCTGTACAGAGGAGGGTTTTGCCCATCAGTGGGATATATATTTGTTAGTTACTTTACTAATTTTTATAATGAAATAGTGGGCTGATGGAAATTAATCTAGAAATATAAAATAAATATAAACTTTATATAAATATTGCAACTATTCGTTTCTGTAGCGGTATCACGTATGATATCAGTTTTGTGCCGAAATAAACAAAATATTTAAATTATAACAGATTTTACAAGTGAAACAATGTTTGTACATAACTTTTAACAAGAGACTTATGACATGAGAATGCGGGAAAAGCAAACCACAATACGTGAATAGCACTTAAGGATAAATGTGCAAATACGTTTTATCACAATTAGATGTTACTCTACA